ATTCTAATATGGTTTCAGCACAACCATATTATGCATTTTATGAAAATTTGGAATTATTTCCATGTGAAAAAAACTAGGGTTAATCAATTTAATTATATATCTACTCCTTTTTCAAGACTTTTGTTTCCTCTTATACATATGTTGTTGGAAAAGGGAATCTTGATGTACCGGGTAAAATTAATGTCATGTAATTAGGAAGTTAGAAGTTTTAGCGGTGAGAATAGTAACTATACATGATAAGATTGTCTATAATAGTCCCTCATGGTCCGATCCTTCCTCTAACATCTATCCGTTTTTTGGGCGGTTCTGAAATCTGAAGAAGAATGAAGTGCACAGTAAAAGTTTCCTAGTATTGAGGATATTAAACAAGAATAAATGTCGCTGGATTTTAAAATCATCATAAAAAACTCTAGAACTTTTTAAATTTCGTAAACCCCCGAGGACCCATTTTTTTAACAGTCTTTATTTGACTGAACATTTCTTTATGTCATGTATCAACTACATCCATAGGAAAATAATATAAAACACTAGGAATATAATTACCATTAAATTCTAGTAGCAGATTTTTGCCGCTTTCAAACTTCAAATTTTCCAACTAGCAGTTGATACTGTCAGAATTATATATTTTGTACCACTGGCAAAGAGTACAATATTGTTATTGCACACAAAAAAAACAGACTGTAACTAAGTACACAACATTGTAAAATTAAATATGTTGATTCTATAGTTGTTACTATTATTTAATAAATAGAGTAATGTTGGGACAAAATCAAGAAAAACATCTACAACCCGGCCCCCCCTTTAATTTCTTCAATAAAGAAAACAACAGTACAATATATATGCACACATACACACCTAGCTAGAAAAAGAAATTGCATGTACCATGTTTTTTGATTTACATATCTTTTACGTACACGATATGTGACGTCCTGATAGCCTTAGGTGCAACTTGTGTCCAAAGATTCGATGGTTCATGGGATTCTCTATTGTAGATATAGTTCAATTATCTATTTTAGTATATATTGTAATGAATGTTACACAATGCAGGGTTGTTTCTGATCAATTGCATTGAAGACAAACCTCTTTGCATTATAATTGAGTAAGACAGACAAGACGTATAAATAGTCATGGCGGAAAATAATTCAATGGAATATATTATGGAAAAAGCATCTTCTTCATCCATTGATCTGAATGAAGACAACAAAGGGGAACTCGAAGAGGAAGAGGAAGAAGAAGAAGAAGAAGTGATTGAGGTGGAAGATAGTAGTGAGAAAGAAATTGAAGGAAATTATAATACTAGTAGTGATGTTGAAAAGAAAAACGTAAGGCAATATGTTCGATCAAAATTGCCAAGGCTACGTTGGACTCCAGACCTCCATCGCTCTTTTGTTCATGCCATTGAAAGACTTGGTGGTCAAGAAAGTAAGCCACTATATATATACTATCACGTCAACTAAAAGATAACTACATATATTCGAGAAATATTTATTTAATGTTTTTTTTTATTTTTTCAGGAGCCACACCTAAGTTGGTTCTACAAATGATGAATGTGAGAGGTCTAAGTATTGCTCATGTAAAAAGTCATCTACAGGTAATCATATACGTATATATTTTGTGATAAATTGAAATACTTATATTAATTTGGTGTTTTGTTTTTAATGTAATTAATATAAGTTACTTATTTGATCCAGATGTATCGAAGCAAGAAACTTGATGAATCTGGACAAGGTACTACATTTATTTTCAAATTAGAAATTTCTCTTCCTTAAAACACCAATACTTTTTTTTTTGGTTGTGTCTGGAACCCGCATTGAAATCCCGACTAAATTAATGGTGTTTCATTTTGACAGTGTTAGGGCGTGGTAATAATAGGTCAATGCAAGGAAGAAGCTATTTCTTTAGAAGCCACTTAAGTGGTCAAAGATATAACCCTATACAAGATTTCAAGATGAAGAATGGTGCCATTGTGTTGGCAAGGAATTTTAACTATGATAACCATGCACTTAAACCCCATTCCTTTTCAAGACCCCCATATCAGGCCAAAACCATTTTTTCCAGGTACAATACTTATGTTGCTTTGGAACGCTAAATTTGATTACTACTAATTTACGTAGTTATTTAACTAAGGGTAGTATGAAAAAAAATATATGGATCGATCAAGTAAAATGAAACGAGCAAGTAATAATTTAATTAATGTATATAGGTACTTGCCGTGGTCTTCCGATAATCAAGGAAGTTTACTTAATAGCAAGTTTCAAAAAGGGGAAGATTTGTTGAGAATGAAGAGCTGGCAAACACCAAGACAAGTAGTAATTGAACAAAATGGAATTATGCCAATTAGGTCAACCCAATTTCTTGAACAGAAAAAGTTCATCCCCAATCAATGGGAGGAGAAAACAGCTAAAAACTCCCATTTTTTGCTTCAACAAAATTTGGGACAATCATATTCCAAGTGGAACTGCAGAAACAATGCCCTTGAGCAAAATCTTGTGACACCTTGCAGGATTGAGGTAAAAATATGACTCGTCTGTTTATTAGCTTAATCTATTTTAACATAAAAATTTCATGAAGTATGACAATTAATTAACAACAATAGTTTAATTGTCATTTTTTTTAGTGGCATTTAGCCTATAGCCGACATTGGATCCAATGGCAATTAACTAATGTCGGTAAAGGCTTTAGCTCTCTTTGTTAATGTGTATATTTAAAGCCGCTAAAAATTGTTTTTGTTATAGTGTATCCGGACACCCTATTTTTTTTTTAAAAATGCAAATATTTACCACTTTAAAACAACTTCAAATTGCATGCAGTGTCTAAAGTTAGCAAGCATTGAGTTTAGCTATTTATGCCTGATGTTCAAACAAAAATAGTTGAATTTCAGTCATATAAAACTTCAAACACTACGTTGAATTTGTTTTGAAGTAGTAAACTTGTAAATTATGCTTTGTGGATATGACTTAATGGTAGTCATAGAGTCGTGTATATGTCAACTTGGGCCCTATTTTGACCTGCCTAGTTCAGCTCATCCAGGGCCTTTATCCTTTCTCAATGAGCGAAAAAAATCTGTATTATAATGTGACCTTAACGACCATAATTCATATTGACTCATGAAATATCTCGTCAAAATATATTCTAACTGTAATTTTGACTTTGCAGATGAAAGAAGACAAGAGTAGTTTTGAGGAAAAAGAATGGTTACCTGATTTGCAACTAAGATTAAGCAGAAGCACAGATGACAAGATTAATGAGAAGAGGATGGATCAGTCAGATATAAACACGATGCTTTCTCTTTAGCTTCCTACTTTAGTTAATAAATTAGCTAGAGTTCTTAAACATACAAAAGTTTTATTATTAATTAGGTTGTTAATTATTGTTCATGAGTGATAGCAGCCTAGGTAGGAGGGTGAGTACTTGAGATCTGACCAAGCAATTAACATTAATTAATTGGAGTCAGATCTCCTAAGTACTTGCTTTATAGGCCGCATCCAATTACCATACAGTTTGAGTTGCCACTTATATCTCTCTCATTCTTAGTTTTTCTTTGTTTTACAAAACAATATAATATTTACTATCTTGCTACATGTATTTAATATTAGTGGGATATTCTCTTTTCTTCAGAAAGTAAAACCAAAATTATATATTGTTGTTATTTTTACCAGAACAAATCATGTCGATTTCTGTAGTAGCATGTCATAATTCAGATTGAGAATATATATAAAGATCATTAAAAACTTTAAAAATCGGAAGTTGTACTCTTTTTCGACGTACAAAATATATAAGAGAAATAATGTAAAGATATCTATAAAGAGTGCTAATTGCCTTTAATATATTGTTGCAAAGATCATTTTTAGTGTATTCTTCTTTCTCTTAACTTAAATGATGAAATGAGGATTCATATAGCTGATCTTGACTTATTTGAGATTGAGGCAAGTTGTTATTGTTGTAGTTTGTTTTGTCTTCTCTATCTCTCTTTCTTTCTTTCAATCTAAGGTATTGGTAAATTGTGAAGTTGATTAATGTATTTCTTATTTAAGTGTATGGTTCCAAATTTCTCTTTTTCTGTGAGATATATAGCTGACAATTGATATTTTAGTTTCTTGAAATACAAATGAAGAGAATGAGGTATTTAAAGTGTCCAATGGATTGGGCTTGGATAAGATCCAATCCCACCTGGGCTTGCATAGGTTGACTGAGGGCTGGGCCTAGACTCATGTTAGGCCCCAACAGTTCCCTTTCCTATGTGAAGGCTGAAGCCACAGATCTTATAGGGTCGTTTTGTATGCGAACTAAATTATCGCGGGACTATAGTCTTGGAATTATATCCCACCTCCCATGTAGAATAAAATAATTTCAAGTGGGATGGAATATCTCAAGATTAAGTTTGGATTAGATTTATGTGTTTGGTTACAAATTAAATTTATCCCCAGATGATTTATACCATCAACCAAACAGAATATAAATCTAATCTCAATCGTAATCATGGAATATCCCACCTTATCCCGCATACCAAGCAAACTTAGGGTTCAACTCTAGATCAAGGTGTTCTCTCAGATGCATAAATAGACTTAGTTTTTTCCGAAACTTAAACACCTCAATATTATTGCTATCAACCAATTACATAGTGTAAACATATCTGTAGCATCCTGTGAGCCTGTGCTTTACTCTAGGTGATGGAGGGAGATTTAGGCTATTGACTGCAGGCTCAAACTCAAGTGCACTTGTGGCTTTCGACATGGAATCATGGATCATATAGATCGATGAAATTTTTGAGAAAATGTATGCATACTCAAACACCCCCGACCCTAAATCCTGAATTCGTCTTTAAGACCTTGACTCTGAATAAGGGATGAAGCTATTCTTCCACCAAATATGGTATAACCTTGAAACTCCGTTACTCGAGCCTGTTTCAGATAAAAGGTCCGGACTACTACTGAGCTTTTTCTTGTCAAAATGTTATATATTGGTGAGCTAGCTCATTCAATGGACCAAAAGATGAAGAATTGAATCAAATATTACCAGAAAAGCTAAAGATATTTACTTCAATGCCACACATTATGAAAAAACAATACTATACCAGAATGTCATATAGAATCAAATGTCATTCATTCATATCTCAAGGCAAGGGCTGGTTTTCAGGAACACAAAAAACTCAGCAATTCTCATGCCCACTACTATGTCAATATTGAAAATTACAACAATCGCCACCATCAAAACCAAGTAATTTTTTGAGGTGGAATAGGAAAAAAATTTCCTCGTATACCTAGACTAAAATAGTGACAAGGAAATTCCAAGAGGAATGAAATGTAGTTTCAGGATAGCACTGAAGCTATACCGAAAGAAACAAGATGTTTCATCTTTATGAATGATCCATCTTCAAGATTTGCTCTGCTGACAAGAACCAAGAGTATATAGCTCCTGTTCAAACAAAATGGACCAAAAATAATAAATTTCAGTTTCTCAAACATCAAAATTTGCTACAGAAAACTTTAAAAGATAAAAAGGAGGTTACCTCAGAGTAACGGACATGATCCTTATGCAAATTAGAAGTTTTCACGATTGTCTCCCACTTGGTACCATCAGTTTGGGACTTCTGATTCTGCTTCTTAGAGTTAAAACTCAAGAATGGAGTTCTCAAAGGAATGGAAGGCAGCGTGCGCCAAAGCCAAGACTCAGAGGGAGATTTAGGTAATGGTGGTGGTAAAGTAGATTCCAAGGAGGTAAGGTTAGAATCTTTTGAGTCTTTTGCATTTTGGTTATCTTCATTTTCTGTAACTAAATTCCCACAAGGATGAACTTTTGAAGACTCTAAGGCTCCAGATACTGTATCAACATTTTGCTTTAGTTTCAAAAACTCTTGATCAGCAGGACCTTTGTGTGTTGCTATGGAAATTGTAGAAGCTTCAATCAAATCAAGGGAAGACTCCTTTTCAACAATCTGTTTGCTATTTTTCTCTAAAACATCTGAGCGCCTGGCACCTTGAATAGGAGCCATGGCAGCCAAGTTTTCAAGCAGTTTTCTGTTTTCAACCAGAGTTTTCATATTCTTATCCGGGGAGTTCACTATTCCCTTGGGTTTCAAAGAAGCAGCGTTAGGGGCTGAAATTTGCACATTATCTACAGAATCTATGTACAAGGTTTTCTCAACTACTTCACTTGGCGAATCAAAAAACTTTCCTGTGCCCATTCTCTGTGGTACTGCTTTGTCCTTGACAGTGTAGCAACCTTTGCGGAATGAATCAAAGCGACTAGCCCAAAGACTCTCCATTTCCTTTGGGACACCAAGAAACCTTGTACCCTCATTGAACGGAGATGGGGGTGCTACATTTCGATAAGGAGATATAGCCCCACTTCTTGAACGCCTGCCAGGAGAGATTCCAACTAGCTTACATGAGTCGTTTGGATTAGACAGCTGCCCGGACATACTTCTATTATCAGCTTTGTACAGCTCGCGAGACAGTACTCCAGAATGAAATCTTTGCTTATTAATGGTATCACAAGCATTCTGCAAAGAACCTGATCGTTAGAAACAAAAATAAATCTTATTAATCTTAGGACAAAAAGAAACTGTTACTATGATTATTACCTTCTCAAGAGGACCACTATAAGCTTTTCTAGTTAATTTCTTGACTTCATGAGCATAAGATGTGGGACTCTGGGCCATCTTTGGTTTCGTTCCTGAAACTCTCTTTACTGCTTGAGGCGAGGGTGTCGGAGCACGTGTCTTCACTTTCAATCCTGGCAGTGGATTTAATAGGCACAAAGAATTCTTCACACAAATCCGAGGGAAAAATCTCCACCCTTTACTTGGCTTTTTGTCCGGATTCTCAGGCACATCATCTTCAGTTTCACTTCCTACATCAGCTGGATGGCTGCTATAATATGAGACAGGGTTAGACTCCAATGGCTTAACCAAAGGTTTTCGTTCCACGGGGACCAGCTTTTTGACTGGCATCGGTTGTTCAGCAGAGACTGTTTTTTTATGAACGTATTGAGGCGTCTCCAACACAACAGCTTTTGCTGCAGGCAAGAATCGACTCATCATAAAGTCTCTAGTTTGGGAGTCAATGGAAAAGGTTCCGGATGGTTGCAAATCTGAAGTTTGATGTCCACTCAGACCACTGACACTGCAGTTCAAGGATAAGGATTCGGTAGGTGACATTGTTTCAGGACCATCAGAATAAGCACCATCCTCACTTTCTCTATCTCCTCTCGTGTATATACTTTCCACCAGTCTATCCAGTAAAGCTGCATGATCCATCCAAGGAAGTCCTTCAGCTGGAGACCTGTAAATGTTACGAGTACGAGGCCTTTCACCCGAATAGAACCGAACAGTCTCTGGCAATCTTCCTGGAGGCAACCTAGGACTACTTGAACGCTCCACACGAAGGCTAGTTCGGACTTCAATGTCATCTTTTGGTCTTCCAGGGATCTGTTCCCACACAAATGGAACAGCTACTGGTTTTGTCACCTCAGTCAATTCCCAATCTGATTTTTTGACAGGTAGTGATTGTTGTCGATTTGGTGGTACCTTATCTGCCATCTTTTTATTTGCTCTCTCATTGGGAGTTAAAGATGATGCTATTTTCCTCACAGATAAAAGAGGTGCATTGAAATCCAGCTGCTTTTTCGCCATTTGTCTGTTCAACTAACAAAATTTCTATTCCCTTCCCTCCGAAACAAAATTAGCAATCAACAATGGCGTATATGCCTTCCAAATCACTACAAAAAAAGAGAATTCAAGAAATCAAAATACAGTTTCAAGAAAGAAAACAGATGAACAACCTATCTCCATACAGAACTAAGTACAATAGAGAAAGGAAAGTACTACATTGAACACCACAGATTCAGAATTGCACTAATCAAAATTAAATGAAACTACAAGACAGATACTATTGATTAAAATGCCCCATTGAAGTTTTTAACAAAGAGAAATGAGAATAATAACTCTTTATTGCCAACCCCTACCCCCACCCCCTCAAAAAAGGCAAAAACAGAATTCAGAAACAATGGAATAACATGCTATTTCTCTTGGGGAATTAAAGGCTAATTATACAAGTAAACTAAGAAGAGGGGATGCTAATTAACAATTAGTAAATCAAAAGAAGTGAGAAAGAAGTGAGAAAATGAGAGAAACCATAAACCAAGAACACTTGAAACTCTTATTTCCTTGTTAATTCCTAACATAATACTAAAAAAATAAGATCTTGTCAGTCACAAAGTAGCCAAAACAGAACCATAACTAGAGGATAAAACCTAACATTCCAGATATGGGCACCCATAATTTTCTTTAACAAAACAAATACTACCATTATCATTTTCCAAGAACCAAAAGAATGCATTAAACAGAAAAGATAACAATCAAGAAAATAAGTTCATACCTATACAGTGTGAGAAAAAGATGAAAACTTTACCAAAAATTTCAAGAAAAAGAGAACCCCAAGAAGAGAATGTTAATGGCTCATACCTTGAAGTTGAAGGGGGGAAAGTTAAAGGAGTGAGAGTTGAGTGAAATGTGTCCTTGAATGATGGCGCGAGTTGTGGAGAGAAAAAAAAGGGCACAAATTGGAGAGAGAAAAATGGAAGAATGGTCAGCCTTTGCTTGGTGCTTTTTGCTTTTTTAGTGATGACTGTAGTATACTAGATGGGGTGGGTGGGGTTCACATAAAACATGGAAAGAGAGGATCAAATTGACAGTTAATACGCTAACGGCCTTAAAATTCTTCGCCTCCTCTATTTATCACTTCCTCAGCTCTATTTTCAGTAACTACTTTATTGATCCATTTACTTAGTCTGTTGATTTCGATTAAATTTGAATTCATGTAATCATAATTCTTCTAGTGACTCGAAAGTCAAAAAATTTAATCAACACAACTTAGGATCACCGCCTTTTATCCATTAATATTTTGATTTTGATAAAAGGTAGTATTCTACTACCTTCTATCCTATAAAAGTCAAAAAATAAAATTGTACACCTGGATGTTGATCGGTCGGTTCGGTTCAGTTTGAAGTTTATTGGTTTATCGGTTATTGATCATTATCGATTTAACCATTAAGATTTGATACACACACAAAAAAATCACTTAGAACAATGTGACAAACCAAATGAATCATGTACCTGAGTTCACAGATTGTATCTTGCTAAAAATCAAACGCTTTTATATTGTAGAATAACCAAGAGTTTGAGATAGACATAAAGAAAAATAGAAAACTAAATTCTAAGTCAAACACTTTATATACAAAATGGTATAAATATAATTATTTAATTCACTATGGGGTTATCAGTTAATCCGTTAAGAAAAAATCTCAAACTTTTAAGAATCGATAATCCGAAAATAAAAAAAATCAAAACCATCGTCAAAACTGTTAAATCAATAATTCATTACTGATAAATCAATTAAAAAAATTCGATTCAATTTTATACGACCTACTTTTTAAGAAACATATATGACAGGGAGATAGAGGACCCAACTACTAACAGTGGCTGGGACTCAAGCTCGTGGACATATTATTTAATGTATGTTATATTAATTTCATTTTTATTTTTATATTTAAATAGATCTCTCAGAAAAATAATTAATTATTTAAAAGCTAAAACTTTCGTGACTAAATTTTTGGTGTGAAGCAGTACAATAAATTTTGTAATGTCTATTCATGCATGTGATCTTACAATGCCAAATGTAGACATTGATGGAACTTATATTGTACTACTCTAAAATAATTGTGTTAGTCGTATTGAAGATAAATAGTTATCCGTATTCGCAATTCACTAATAACTCAAATAATTTAAATTTACATTATCAAACATTTATTAAACGCAAACGTACCCCTTACTGAAATTAAGTTTTTTTAGCAACGATATAGACACTGATTGAACAGTTGCTTGTGTTTTCTTTTAATTACTTTGCTTTCATTTTATGTCACATCACAACAAAATAAATAAATTATAAACCATGCATGACCCTACATTGTCTCGTAACGAAACTATTCATATTGGAAAAACTCTTTGCTTAAGTTTGTTAATTTCAATTTTCAAACAATTTCTCTCGTGGAACATATTGAATATTATGACACTTTTAGTCTTGTGAGTAATGTGAATGAAAAAAGTCCAAAAATAAATAAATTGGTAGTCCCTCCCACTTAATTTGTGCATTAAGTTATGCTTTTAGAATTTGGTGGTGGTTGTATATAAATAATTTCTTAGTCTAAATTTCCAACAACTTCGTAAAAAGCTTTTAAGAAACTGCCAATAGGGCCCTAAAGAAAAGTAAATTCTTCAAACTAATTTTTTCATGAAAGACTTTTTTTTATGACTTTTATTGTCTGCTATAATTGACAATGTCATCAATCCAAAAGTATTTGTTTATTGGAGAATTATTTTTTTTCGGTTAATTAAGAAAGGTTTGTCTGTTGGACACGCTTAGCAAAATTAAATAAATATAAAGGTAATAGACAAAAAATGTCACCTAAATAAAGGGATGGCATCTTTCAAGAAAAGACATAATTATTTTAGTTACAGAGACATAAGCGCCGAAATTTCAGTATGTTTAGTGATTTGTTTGGATTTTGCTTTGTAATTTCAATTATATTTGGACAGTACTATATAAAATAAATATTTAGTGATAATAGATTTTTATAAGGTACCGAAAAAATATTTAGTTATAATTAAGTTAATATTATTATATTTTGAGTCATTAAATTTTTTAGAAATATTTATATAAAATACTGATTATAAATACTCGTATTATAATATTGTGACTAACCTCACTCTTGGATTAGGGTCCCCCCCACCCCCCCTAAACCCCACCTAGAAACTTGTTTACTTATAATATTTGAAAAAATGACACGAAAAAAGAAAAAGGGGATCGAGAAAGTTAAACATGAAATCTAGTAGCTAAACTTATGAAATTTTGACCTAGATTGGCGCCAATGTTTTGTTGGATACCTCAGTATTCAGAAATCATTTATCCTTGTATTTTCTTTATTGTTATGAAATTAAAATAGTATATGGGGGAATGATTCACAAGCATGAAAAAATTGGGTGAACTTTTTTTTTTTTTTTACACTTAGACAAGTATATTTCAGATGGTTGTCACTTTTATAATTAGAATTGTTGTGTTTTCTATCAAGATTTTTCGCTCACATATAATATTCACACTCAAAATTTCTAATTAAGAGTGGAGAGGTCCTATAAAATCCTATTTTCATTCTGTATTTACACAAAATCAATGTACTTTATCATAATTGAATAATAAATTAGGTGAAAATGCACATAGTTAAGTGACAAAAAGAATTCAAAAGACATATGTCAAGTTATTGTTTTTTGATGTAAATATAAGATAACTTTTTTATAAAAAGATCTTATTCATCTCATTAGAATTCTCGATAATGCTTAAATAATTAGAAGGTCAATACGCTATAATGTCTGAATTTAAACCTAATCACTTTTTTGTTCCATTTTAGCCTATTAACTTTGTGAAAGAAAATCATTTTGGAACTTCGAAAAATGTACTTTTTGGAATTTAATAACCTTAAACCCTAAATTTTCATAAAAAATTGCTCTGTCCTCTTTGCTTAATAAATACCCTGTACTTTTGAAAGTAAGGTAAAGAGAATTAGGGGTAAAGAAAGTACTCCAACGACTTCCCTTCTTTTTTTTAAAAAAATTATATTTAAAAAAAACAAGAAAATATATTATTTCCCACCCTGTTTATATCTCAAAAAGAATTTGTGTATTCTTATTTACATTATTTTTCTACCTTAAAAGAATATTTTTTGTACTTTATAGGACCCCAAATTTATAATTTTCCCTTCTCTTTATATTCTTTGGTAATTACTACTCCTTCAGTTCCGAATTACTTGTCCACTTTTGAATTGTCACACCTATTAAGAAAACAATAATTAACGTAGTGACTTTACCATTTTATCTCTATTAATTATGAAGTAAGTGAATTAAAAATTTAAGCTTTTCAAAAAGTTCTACCTTTTTTAAAGTAATTAATTGAGGGTATAATAGATAAAAAAAATTGTCCTTTCTTGATTTGTCAAAATGGATAAGTAATTAGGGACAAATAAAAAAGAAATAGTGAACAAGTAATTAGGGACAGAAGAAGAAGGAGTAATAATTTTCATCCCTTTCTTATTCTCCAAAAAGAAGAAGAGGAGGCAAGGTACAATTAATAAATGCTATTGTCTAATAGAGCATAATAATAAAGGGTCTAATTTTAGATTGCAAATGAATTGAAGAAGGTCCCCTACTATAATCAATATTGTTTGGTTAATCAAAATGCATATAACAATAATAATTGAATATATGCCATGTGATGTTGTCTTGTAATTTAAGGACTTCACAATCAATATTCCTTGTGAAATATGATGGCCATTTATTAGCCTCTTTTTTTCTTTCTTTTTTTGCTTCTTCTTTCACCTCTCAAGCAATCTTCTCATTACTACTCTTCTTGAGTTATTCAAGCATTAAACTTGGGCCACAAAAGTTTGGCACCTATCATAATTCTCATTATCTATTTTTTTCAACTGCCTATTAAAATGGGAAAAGACCAAAACCTCACCCATGTTATGTCACATCTTGTAATTATTTGTGTCAAAATATTTAAAATTCAATCTTCCTTTGGAGCGTAGAAATAGCAGACCTCCTTGTCGTTTGATTAGGGCGTAATTAGTAGGCATGCCAATCTAAAATAAGGATTTTTCCTTAATTATTTAAGTGGAATAGAATATTTACTCGTTTGTACTCATTTATAAATTTGTCCGATTGTTTGTA